CTTTGTATTGTCAGTATATTGAAACTGTTCTCATGCAGAGCTTGCTGGGTTCCAAACCCCATGGTCACCTTTGCAATCAAATTATTTTTGGGGGTGTTTTAGATTGTGAGTTACAATTTTTTTTTTTTCTTTAGATGCAGATTTATTTTGAATTTTTATAGAACCTTTATTTTATTTCTATGTTGCAAATTGGTTTTATTCCCAAAGAGAAAATGAAAAATAAATGTATTTTAATATAGAACACTAATGGAGATTTCTGGGATGCTGCCATCTCTGCAGTAAGAACAGCATCCTTGCTTCAACAAAGAAAGAGTGCAATAGTTTTTGTTTGGGAACTCCCATGTTTTCAAATTCTTGGAATGTCTTTGTCAGTAAAGTGACTTTTGCTTCCATTTTCTAACCCTCTGTACTAATGTTAGTATGAGTTAACTAACAACATTATTCTAACCTTTACTACAGCCTGAAACACTGATGTCCAACCTCAGATATTTGAGTGCCACTTGTGCGCACCTCAAATACTGCAGCTGGTTCTGGTTTCCACACAATAAAAAGGACATAGATCTGTTGGAATGAGTCCAACCCTGACGAGGGCCACAAAAATGATCTGGGGCTGGAGCATCTCTGCTATGAGGATAGGCTGAGGGAACTGGGATTGTTCAGCCTGGACAAGAGAAGACTCTGGAGGGACCTCATACCTGCCTTCCAGTACCTGAAGGGAACCTACAGGAAGGCTGGAGAGGGACTTTTCACAAGAGTGTCCAGTGACAGGACAAGGGGAAATGGTTTTAAACTGAAGGAGAGGAGGTTTAGACCAGATCTTAGGAAGAAGTTCTTCAGTAAGAGGGTGGTGCAACTCTAGGATAGATTGCCCAGAGAGGCTGTGGATGCCCCCTCCCTGGAGGTGTTCAAGACCAGGCTGGATGACGCCTTGAGCAACCTGGTCTAGTTGAGAGGTGTCCGTGCCCATGGCAGGGAGGGAGGTTGGATGAGATTATCTCTGCGGTCCCTTCCAAACCTAGGCCATTCTATGATTCTGTGATAATGACAAAAATGGAGCTTGATAAGACCTGACAGACTGAAGCAAGCAGCATCACCCATCAGGGGACCAGAACAATCCCTGCTTTCGTTACTCTGCAGAAGCATGAATAGAAGCATGTACTGGCTGCAGAAGAGGTGGCTGAAAGAGGGTAATCAACAGTGAACAGAACTCACGTTGGTGACTGTGCCTGTTTTTATGTGCTTATCTGTCCTAAAGGGTGATTGTCCAAGATTTAACAGTTTTAAAAGACATCTAAAAGTAAAATTCTTTTATTGTGATGATTTTTTTTCCAAGGAAAAAAACCCGGAACTTAATAAATAGTTAGTGTTGAATTAGGAGTTGCAATTTAGCTTGCTGAATAAGAACCAGAGTCTTTGACTTGATGACATGTTGCTAAACCTTTAGGAATTGGAGGCACCCACCAGAACTAGCCAGTCTTGAATGCTGTAGCCAGACTACTCTCCCTGCTTTCTCTAAGTGTGTTATCTTCAGTGCTATAAGTGTATAGTACCTTACTGAGGTGAGACTTGAAAATTGCTTCTTGTTGGCAGTTTGAAATGTGATTGTGGGGCTAGGATCTGAGTCCTGATGTTAAAGGTACATGAAAAGGAAAAGAAGATATTGTAGATGACACCCTGTAGTATTATGTAATGCATAATAGAAAGGCTTTGCACAAGGGTGGCAGCTGAAATCTTTGTATTAGTTGCACTTGTGTCCACCACCAATACCACACACAGGAGTGAGAGCACAGAACTCATATGCATGAGGACATAGGTCTGTGCATACAGATTTCTGTGTGCAGTTTGGTAGACATCACGTCTCTCCGCACCCTTGTTAAATACAGCTCTTTTGTGGTAATAAGGAGGTTTTGGTGTTGTTTTAAGATCAGTTCTATTGTATTTTATTGCAGTACTCCATGAATGGCTTTCCAGTTTTGCTGCACAAGGAAGTGTTGGCAGTTCAGAATATTGTGGAAGAAAATTCCTCACCAAGCTGACTACTCTGGTGCTGCACTTATTTAGCTTTTCTGGACTGACATACTCCTTCATTAAACAGAAGTATATAAGCTGAGACACACAATTCTGACTGTTAGGCATATTGCATAGCAAGTTTTATTTAACAGTGTGCTTCTGGCTGTTTTCTGTGACAAGATATCCAATATGTTAGTTCCAAAACTGGATTCCTGTGGAGCCCTGTGCATCTTATTTTGGTATGAAATCTTTTGCCAGCTGACAGTCCAGCCCCTGAGCAGTTTCATATCTCTGTGAAACTCTCACCTGCTGCTCATTTGGCATTCAGTACTCTTTCTCAGTTAAATTTTGACTATTCTCCTTCTCACTGCTGCCTGCCTCCTTGTGCTAATTTACTTGGTTTTCATGAAGAAGAAGTGCTTTTGGAAGACTTCATGTAGCTAGCTAATTTTCTTTAGCTTCTTGTTTGTAAGAAACTTAGTGGGGAAACAGAGGTTCAACCGTTATGTTGTATAACTTGTAAGTTTGGAACTTCATGCTCTTGAGTTGCCAGTTCTGTCAGCATCTCTTTTAGTGCTTCTTTTTCTGAAGTTGTTCTGTGGGTCAGAATCAGGTCATGCCTTCTTTTACTATGACATTTTAAGGAAAACAAGGGAAGAAAGGCATTAGTATTTATCTAGAAATTATGTCAGAGAACTGAAAACCTTTACAGATTCCAAGACTACAAGCTCTAAATAAAGTTTTTCCCACAGTTGCTCACAAGGAACAAATCCATAGATAAATAAGTTTCACCAGTATAGACACTTATGGAGTTGCACTTTTTTCCTCTATTACTGAACTTCTTTTACAGCTGCAACAAAGTGCCATGTCCTAAGCCCATGACTGGGTTCCCATCTGTCCAGCCACAGATGTTCAGCAATGGCAGTCATGTTTTGGACAATCTCTAGAGCTAGCCTGATTTCATCGCTGCTTTTATTTCTCACTCATAGCACTTCTCTTAACCTTCTGGTCTCTCGGGATCATGTCCCATTTCTAGTGTGCTGGTTAAAATCTCTTCAATTGCCTCTTCAGTGTAATCATTATATGTTTGGGTTTTTTTGTGCTTGCTGCTGAAAGTCTAGTTCAGGCTTTGCTTACTTCCCTGGTCTGAAGGAATTTGATTTTCCTCATTAATGAGAACTGAAAGTTACTTTCAGTTCAGCACTATTTTTTCTGTTTTTTTTTTCAGATACTGTTCTGCCGTGGCATTAGACTCTGCAGTCTTTGAAGAGTAGACAAGGAACAAGGAGATAGTAATTCAAATTATGGACCAGAATTTATACTTCCCTTTCAGTTAGTGTAGAAACTGTTTTGTTTGGGATTCCCCCCCCCCTTCTTTTTTTGTGGGTTAGAATAAGATCAATTCATCAGATCTATGTAACGAGTTCAAGGATGGTTTCCTCGTGCTTTCTGTGTGTTTGCTGGAGATACAGAGTAGCTGTCCCCTGGGGGAACGAGGCAATGAAGTGTGGATTCATCATTCAACACCTCTCTCCTTGCTCAGCTGATGTTGCTGAAGATATGAAAAGATATCAGTGAGGGGTTGCAATGATTCTGTCTTTTGCTTCTAGAAATAAGTTGGCTTTAGAAATTAAAGAAACTTCCTTGTCGTCTTAATTGGCATGGAGAACTCCGTACCAAAAGTATAGATGCAGAAATGATCTACAGGGAAATACATGTAATTACAAGTACTTGTATTGGGCTTACTGAGGAAAGATAAGATATTACAAAGACTGTGTACAAGAAGGACTTTGTATTTGGGATGTGAGGCATTTGACTTCCTTTTTTTGGTACTGGTGGACATACTTTTATAATTGAGTAATGAACTGGGCCTCATTTTTTCATTCTGCTTCTTCAAGTTGAATTATAATGGTAGCAGTTGAAGCAACTGAGAGCAGTGGAATAGGTTTATATTTCTAGTGTCAGTTAACGTGGAGGGAGAACTGAAGTATGCCTTTCTCCTGTAATTAGCTGGGAATTTCTCTTACTTAAATAGGTCTGGTATCCTCCAACTGTGCGTTCTCCTTCATGTGCTGGAGTTTAAGACCACTTACGCTTGCTTGACTGCAAGATAAGCAAGGAAATGATTGAAAACAGGTTTTAAAATTTAACCTGTGGTGTATTCTTCCTTTGTTGCTCTGCTAATGCTTTGCATGCTGACCTAGAAGAATCATAATCCAAGCTAGTAGGTACTGTAATTCAGTCTTCAACTGCTTTCATTATTTTCTCAGCTGCCTGTCAGTTGTGCTTAGTCCTGGTGAATTAATCAAGTGTCTGTATTGTGTAGGCCTTTCTCCTCAGGCAATTAGACTTGTATCACCTATTCTCTTCATGTGGACATGTACAATAAAAAGGCTGGGAAGTGTTTAGTAAGTAAAAACCTGTTGTGTTTTTCTAAGGTTTAAAGCAGCATGTCTTACACTTTGCTACTGGATGGGATAGACAGGAAAAGTTAGCAGTGGAGCTGTGCAGACTCCAGATATCCTTTATGGGGAACTGATGGTTGTATGCTTTTTACAGTAGCATCTGAGTAGTGTTGTAGTAGTATTGTGCATGGTACTGTATCAGCGCACCTTTCCCACCATGCCCCTTGCTGCTTCCTCTAATGCTACAGCTTCAGTATGGAGGACATTTTCCAGAGGGACAGAGAACTAAGTGGAAGAATGCAAGCTCTGATCTTTCTTGCCTATTTCTAGAGTAATGCTGATAATTAACAGACACTTTGCTTTCAGGAATAGGTTTTAATTCTTCATCCTTCCGGAACCTTTGAAAAGTATAGAATATTTTACAGATTTGCAATGCTTAATATACATAGGCAGTTATGTTTTCATGATGTGTGGACACATGTCTGTTCTTGATGCTTCTGTTTTTATGTAGTCTTTCAAAGATGGTGGATTTGTTTTATTTAAATTGACAGACATCTTAATGTCTTAACAGTTTTCTCGTTTTTGCTTCACAGAAACTTACCTTAGAGCATGGACACCAGTAAGAAGACAGAACCCCCTTTATCTGTAGAAATGGTGCAACAAAGGGCCAATCCTGATCGCAGTCCTTCGGCATCAATTTATGTTCCAGAACAAGGTGGCTACAAAGAGAAATTTGTAAATGCTGTGGAAGATAAGTATAAATGTGAAAAATGTCACCTCATCTTATGCAACCCTAAACAGACAGAATGTGGACACAGATTCTGTGAGACCTGCATGAATGCCTTGCTAAGGTATATTTTTTGCTTTGAAAGAACATGTTGATACCTTTAAATCTTGTGAACTTCTGAAATGGTATGAATTATTTGCTATCCATATGCTGGTACAAACATTTATACCCTACTCTGGGTCAGGATGAGATGACTGAGCTTTCCATCAGAATTGTGGAAACAGCTGTTAAAGTGGTTTAATTCCATGTAGTGATGTGTTAGGTAAGAATATCATTACCTGTAGAGCCTGGACTGAGTAGCTAATTTGCATGACTGCTAATATGGCTGGTTTGGTGTAGAGTTCACTTAGTAAATTGTGGCTGTGCAAGGGGGTGAGCCTGCAGAGGCTCCTTAGAGTGATGGTGCCTAAACTGGCTTTGGACCCAGCCTTACAGTTGAGTAGTGGGACCTTTGGGTAACTGTAACTGCTTCTGGACCTTCCTTTCCTCATAACCCTTGTAGCTCTATGTCTTGGGGCTTGTATGTTTTGTGGATTCCAGGAGGGTCAGCAGGCTGGCTTCTCTGTTACTGAGATGCTTGGGCCAGAGTGCAAAGTGAGGGAGTGAACATTATGGACAGAAAATGAATGCTGAGAGGTGAGAGATGCACTGTCATTCAAGGAGATCTAGCTTTTAAGAAGTATCTGTGCTTCAGCAGAAGTATATTTCTTTGCCTCTCAACTTTGATGCATTGCTACTGTTCGTATTAAGCAGTGTGATTTCAAAACTTGGTCTTATGTTTGGAGACCATTCTGCAACCTTTAATCCTGGTTTAAATAAGGACTGAAATGCTTCCATTTACTACTGGGAAAGCAGAGGTATAGAAGAGGTGGAGCTCATTGGGTGTTCCACACTGGACTACTAACAGAGGATTTGACTTTGGAAGATATTGGTGATCTTCTGCTGACTTGTTGTGACCATCCTCATTGTATATATTAGTTTATATTTCACTTGGAAATACAGTAATCTCAGGTGGATATAAATCAAGACTACATGCAGGATAGCAAAAGAGGTGGGATGATATTGCATTACTCTGTCTCATGATAAAGACTAACCTCTGTAATGAGCTACGGACCCCTGGATTTGCCTGTGAATCCCCTCCTGTAGGTTTTGTGCTACAGAATGTTACACCAACTTTTCTTTCAATACACATTTTCAAGTGAGGTGTAGTTCCTATTGAAGGAATGCAGTTATGTCTTTCTGAATACATTGGAAGATTCTTACATGGTTAATAACAGTGGCTGCAGAAAAGCAAATACCTGTCATACTTGGATGTGTGCACACGGACACATCCAGAGCAGATCCTTAACAATCTAAGCAGTAACGATGCTGGCATTGCTGGAATCTGGGCAATTTTCTTTCCCTGCTATGAGACATGCACATGTGCTTATTATTATAGTGCAGCTAGAGTATGTGTAATTTTACCTTCCTGACTTTCCAGCCAGTCTGTTATTGAAAAGGACACATGGGTAAGACCATCTACAACACTGCTCTTTCATTTGAATTATTTTATTTAAGTGCTTGTTGCAAAGAAATACTTTGCTAAAACTAAATTTACAGCTCCTTTTTTTTTTTTTTAATAAAAAGTGTGCCATAAGGCTGCATGCAAAATAAGTTTACATTATTTCTGTATTCAACACAAAACCTTTTCATTCAGTGTTGACATGCTGCTGCACACACACGCACGCACACACACACACACACACACTGGTTATATGCTTGCACTTTCTGTTCCAGTGTTATTTGAGGACAAAGAATTAGGAGTCAGTGTAGATAACACAGTAAAGATGTCTGCTCAGTATGCAATGGTATTTTAAAAAAGCAAATGGGATGCTTGAGTGAATTCAGTACAAGTAAGGAAAGCATGACATTGTATTAAACACTGTATGCCCTCAAGTAGGTTAGTTTCATTTTTCTTTTTTGTAACTTAAGAAAATTATTACAGATATTGAAGCTGCAAGGTAGTTAAGATGCTCAGAAATATGATGAGGCACAGAATGGTCAGTTCAAGAAGGCAGAAGCCAGTGAGATGATTTGAAATAACCATGCTGATTATATAACATAATCAAACTTATTCAGCCTTTTACATGGATTTGCACTGCTGCTAGCAGCTGCAACCCATGTAGCCTGTCAGTGAGTTGCTTTATGAGAGAATTTACCTAGCTTTTACCTGCTGCTTTTCGTCCATAGAGCTCAGTGTTTTACCAGAAAGATCAGTATGAATATCCCCTTTTTATGTGGGGAAAAGAAGCTAAAAAGGAATGAAGGGATTGACATTATGACACCTACCAGGTCAGAGCCAGAAACAGCTGTAGGAACCCAGGCTTCCCACGCTCCAGTGTCTATTCACAGGCTGCTCTGCTTTGCAACCTGCCTGTTCTCTAAGAGATCAAAAGTATAGTGATTAGATTGCCAAGACAGCTACACAGCCATAGTTCAGATGAAGGAGGGCAGAAGGATCTGTGACAGTTGCTGAAACCAGAACAGACTTGAAGGAGATGAACATAAATACTTTTTTACCCTAAAAAGGTATATAATTGACTGTCAGAGAAAGTAAAGTTTAATTAAGTGTTGTCCCTTCAATTATCCAGTCCTTTTTCAAACAATATTTTGCCTGTTTGCCAGGTAGATATAGAAGTGATGAAAATTGTGGATCAGGCACAGAATGTAAAATAATGAGTTTTGCTGCCCTGAAGAAAACCACTGCACAGTTGGCTGGGGGCATTGTGGTGGTCTTATTTCCTCAGGAATGAGATATTGTCTACTAAAAACAATTTTTTTTTTGAAATAACATCATTTTATCTCGTTCTAATGAACTATATCCACTTTCAGTTAATTTAAAATATAAAGAATAATCATAACTTAAGTGCTGCATAAATGGGATCAGAAATTCAATTGAGTTAAATAGTTTCTCTCTTCTTTCCTCTCCAGTTCCTCTAGTCCAAAATGTACAGCGTGTCAAGAAAGCATAGTAAAAGATAAGGTATTGTTAACATTTTTTTATTCAAGAGTACTGAATTGTGGTGTACCTAAGATGTGTTACTGGTTCGTGGTTATAATTTCATAAGCCTAATAAGCTACCTGAGAGGATAGTTTTGTTATAACACCTAAATGATGTATTTTATACAGGAAGACAGCTCATTTTTACTGCTAACCATGTGGTAGAAAACATGTCAGCTTCATCTCTAATGGTCCAGTCAGATGTCACATCTTGTTTTCATAGCTGGGAGCTGCAGCAAATCGTTGCAGTTGTCCTGCCATCAGCCAGGAGGATGATAAGAAATAGTGCATCTCCTGTAGATGTGGAGATCTAGGCAAACCTTACTCCTGGTTTGGCTCCAGACCGCTGTCTACTCTCCCACAGTGTGTTCTGAGAACCACCCTGGAACCAGAACAGTGTGGAGTTACAGCCACTGCAATAGAATCAGGCTCTTTTTATATGGATAAGTTATTTCACTGATACACTCTTCACTCTTTATGATTTATGCAGTTTTAACATCAGATTTTTCTAAAATGTGTAGTAAATTCCTCGTGTTAGTAGTCTTTCCTGCCTAAATTAATACTTGTAATAGTGGCTATTTCCAAGAAAAGATCAATGGGTATGTTAATCTCTTATTGTCCTAATTCACAATAGTTCTCTGAACAGTGCTTGGTGTAATTCAGTTTTGACATGGATGAGCTTTCCAGGAGCTCAGAGCAATAATCATGATGCCTACTTTATTTCTTTTTTTCACTCTTTCTAGCTCATAACATACGTTTATATATGTACATGTGTTATGAAACTTGAAATATCTTTAAAACAAGAGGAGGACAAAAAGTGTATTTAGCAGTGTATGCTGAATACATGTTAGACTAACATGGAATAGGAAACCTTTCTCTTCCCATAGAATGCTGATGTCTAAAATTAGAATTTTTTAGACAGTCTTGGAAAAAAATGTTTAAAAATGGTCTTCTTACCTTTAGTCAGCAAAATTGTGCCTAGTAACCTTGTGAATTACTTTGGAAAAAAAATACTACAGAGCTGTCAATTGATTATTCAAGTGATATTTGCTGATTCATTAAACTTCACATATGCATCTGAAAAGTTCACAGAAACCAATGGCGTGTGTCAGATCAGATTGCATGAGAACGGTTGCAGTGTTTCCTTCTTCCCTGATACTAGGGATAGATCCTGGTCCCTGGGGACAGATTGGGTCATCATTCTTTGTTGTTGATATTGGCATGCAGAACTGTTCTGTAATGACAATGTCCCTGCAGTGTATGCAGTATCACAGAATTAGCTTTGCCAGAGTAGCAGTCATAGGTTGGGCTTGGTTCTTAAGTATTTGTGGTCATGGAAGCAATTGCAAAATAAGTTTTTATTCCTTTGGTTTGGACTTCAAAATATTAGTAATGGCCTTCAATCCTTATCTCCAGTTCCTACCCTTAGCAGTGGGGCTTCTTAAGAGTGCAATTGTGTTTTCTCTATCTTTTATGTGGTATCACCTTTAACAGGTGAAGATTCTAACCCTGAGCTCTCTATTTCTAACTTCTTGCAGTTCTGTTATAGATGAAAAACACTGGCAAGTCCTATTAAAATAAAGATGTTCCTAAAGACCTCTTATCTGTGAAATAATAAACCTCTTCCAGTCCAAGACCTTAGAAAATGCCTTTAATTGTGTGTTACCTACTGGAGTGCAAGTGGGTGTTACAACTAACCAATCCAGTCATTGTGGGACTGCCTTCCATGAAGTCCTTCCTCTCTGAACCACTGTGCTTTGGCTCTGTTGTCTTATGGTATTGTGCCTAATGCACCAGCTTCCCAAACAACTTGTAGCTTATGTGGGACCATTATTGGCAAACAAATAGCAAAACATTTAGTCCTGTCTTGTGCCTTTCCCTTCATTGTTTTTGTAGTAAAAGTGACACAGTGATAGAGCACTTGTCCAAATACTCTCTTTCAATGGGCCACTTCATAGTGGAGGAATAGGAGTGATGTGTCTATTCAAAAAAATTGAATGGTACGATTTTATTTCTGGCACATAAAGCGAGAAATAAATAGTACTGCTGTAGCCAAATTGCATGGCTTCTGCTTTATTTGAAGTTGCATATACTTGAGTGGTTTTAAATTTCTAAAATGAAGTGATTTTTCATTTTTCAGGTATTTAAAGATAATTGTTGCAGGAGAGAGCTGCTTGCCCTTCAGATATATTGCAGAAATGAAAACAAGGGCTGTAAAGAACAACTGTCTTTGGGTCAGTTATTGGTAAGTAATCTAACACGGTCATAAGCTTCCTTTTGAGTTAAAGAATGAGAAGAAATCTTGCGGATTAAAACCCCAGTCCATTTCTTGACTAGCTCACACTACGTTGGAATAGAGTTAGTGTTTTGAAACTCAGCTGTTCAATGAGCTATAAGGAATTATAGTAAAAAATCATGTGATTGCATGACATTAAAGCTTGCAAATGTAAATGCATGAAGCAAATGAGAACTGGAGAGAGAGCTAAAATCAAGAAAATTCTTAATGTGTACTTCACAAATACGACATTTTATTTCCTTTTTGGTGTGTTTTTGTTTGCCCATCTTAATCCTCTTATATAAGTCATGGTTTATGCATGGAGTCAAACCTTCGGCTTCTGCAGGCTTTTACAAAATAACCTGTAGCTTTGTTTCATAAAGGCATTAACATAGCAGTAATCCAGTAATTTAACAGTTTTCAGGTATGGCTACACAGCAGTTTACAATGAGATGTGTAGGTACTTGCTTTGCATGAGCAAGCTCAGGTACTTAAAGCAGCATCTATGTTTATGTGGAATAGTATACTTTGAAAAAGAATGGTTGCCTTCTGTTTAAATAGCCCGTGTGGAATTTTAGACTGTGATAGAATGCTTTTATTATGAAAGTAGCTCACATACATCTATCATACAGTGAAATCTGCTGTCTAGGTAAAGGGAGTGTAAGGTCAGAAATGTATTCCTGAGTAGATTGGTTAGTATTCATATAATGCACAAAATAACTTCGCTTACTCTGGTTCTGAAGTTTAATGTAGGATGTCTTCAAAGGATAGAAGACATGCACAAAACTTAGTTGGCTTGACTATTTTTTGTTTTGATCTTTCAGATGCATTTGAAAACTGATTGTCAGTTTGAAGAACTCTCATGTCCTCGTGCTGATTGCAAAGAAAAAATACTGAGAAAAGATTTGCCAGACCATGTAGAGAAGACCTGTAAATACCGGGAGACAACCTGCAAATACTGTAAAAGCCAAGTCCCAATGATTATGTTGCAGGTGCAGTATTTTCTTGTGTGTAGAGAAAAAGATTCTGTACATTAATGTGGAATAATAGCTCCTGTGATTCTAGGTAGCTGCCAGTAGGGCCTTGGCCTTTCAGCCAGTATTAGTATGTCAAAAAAGAAAACAGACTGACTTTCTAAACACTGTCTTTTTTCCCACTCTGAAAACACCCATTAATGCCTCGACTGCAAAACATTTTTTTCTGATGTTCAGATACTGCATTGAAAAACAAAAATTATGCAGATCCATTGCATAATATTGATACTGAAGTAATTTTTACTATTCTTTTTTATCTTGCTTAAACTGATAAAATAAATGCAACTACCATGATAACAATTAAATTTGTGTAGGAAAAACATAAGCATAGCAATTGCCTGGAGAAAGAGCATCTTTCTGTATAATCCTCCTTGGGTACTGCACAATGTTATGAGAGGAAAGGAGAAAACAATGTAAAAACAAACTGTCTTGGCATAGCCAGCAATGATACGTGACAGGCCTAGGCAGAGTTATTGCTGTTCTTGGCATACGAACAGTTGTCTGGTAAGCTGCACGTTGGGAGTTAGAAGTATAGAGCAGAGGTTGAGAAAGTCATACTGCCTTTACGCATAGAATTGTAACCTCACTGTGTTTGTGTTACTCTGCATTGAGCTGTATTATGCTGAATCTCTCTTCCTGTAATTTTAACATTTAAAAAAAAAAAAAAAAAAAAATCTGTTTACATAGTTTCCACAGTTGACAGTCTCAAACTTCAGGCTTTCTTAGTATTGTAAGAGTGATGAGAATTTAGTTTTCATTTGTGTTGTTGTGCATTGCTCATTAGGCAAAGTCTCACAGTGATGAGAAGCTTTCTTTGCTTAGAGATCTTACAAAAAGACATAGGTAGAATGTCACCAAATTTTGTTACTTTAATAATTATGTATTACCTAGTGTAAGGTGGCTGAGATGTGAAAATTCAGAGAAAATTAAGCTTACTTTGTGTTTATTCTTGCACATTCTGATAGAGGTGAAACTGTATTTAATTAGATTATGGGTTCTACTCCCCCAGAATTTTCTTTAGGCTGGGAATTGATGTGAGGCAAAGAGTGATATTAAAAAATGCATAGAGTCTTAACAGACAGAATCAGGGAGTATTAAATATGTCTTTTACAAACTGGATTTTCACATCTAAGCAACATGCTTACGGGTTCCTTGTAGGCAGTTTCTTTTACAGGAGCAGTGTAGTTAAATTTTTGAGTCTGAAACCATCCTTATGTTTTGAGGAACATAGAACACTCTGTTTTAGTTTAAGAGCTTTCCCTTTTATCAGATGTTGATGGATTTAACATTTATGAAACCCTTGAACTAGTGGTAGCTTTCAAGATGCTCAGAAGTCGAGACAGGTTTTAGTCTATCAGATTTTTAATTCACAGTTAAACTTATTTTTGACATTCACATTGGAAACAAGAATGGCATATTACTCTGAAGTGCAGAAGAGAGTGGTTGTAAGTAAGGTAATTGTTCTCTAAAATCTGAAGTGGTGGAATTCTGAGTTCCTTTAAGAGGTAATAGAATTGGCTTATCCAGAGAACAAAAGAGGTCTGTTAAAATGTAGTTTTATGTTGAGATATCACTATTTGGATTCTATTGAAGTTAGTGCCACTATTCTACTGCCCTTAAAAGTTCTAAACAAATCTACATTTGTAAATCAGAACTTTTTCCAAGCAGTGTTACATGTTCTTATGCTATCATTGGCTTATATGTTTCAGTACATAGAAAAAATGACAGCTTTGCCTCCATACTACTTTAAGAGTGCAGAAAGCTCCACAATGAGAAGATCAACAAATGGCTACTGTTTTTAATTTTTTGGACTAGATTTTTAAAAGTTCAGTGACTACAGAAATGCAGATGTTTTTATTTTTTGTGGCCTGATATAACGTTACCTCGTTGTACTTTGGTAGGGAGAATCATAAGCTTAGTGACACCGTACATGTGAATTAAAGGCTCCTTTTGACTTCTCGTTTGAGTTTTGCCACCCAGAGTTTGAGTTCATCTCTAGCTTCTGTCACCTAAAATTTTCTGTAATGTAATGATTACTGAAGCAGGCCTCAGTGACTTGAACTGAAAATGGAGCTAGAGGGAGCATACCGAGAAAAAAAGGTATGCAAATGGAAACAAAAATAGTTTTACCGGAGTACGTATGGTTCATGTCTTCATAGAATCCCATGACCCACGGGGTAGGAAATCCCCGTTGTTGGGGGCAGACTCTTTAGTTAACAATGTTAGTACTTGGTTTTTAGATGGCATTTGTCTTGCCTGCACTGTCAGTAAGTGAGTTAATTTCTTAATTCCTTTTCTTTTGTTAGAACCATCTAAAAAGTTGGGGTGTTTTTTTTGTCACAAAGCTACCTTTTCCGCTCCGTAACTTCTGGCAGATAAAGGTGGTGCTTTGTTAAACAAGAAATTAGTAGCCTATAATGCTTATGAACTGTTATATTTTTCTGTGGATAATCTACAAAACTACTTAGAAATGCTTTTCCTATCAAACTGATACTTGATCAGCTTTACTTGGTGCCTAGGCTCTTTACTGCTATCCTGGCCACAAAAAGTCTGTCCCAGGCAGACCCTGCCAAGGCAATCTGGATTCCGCTCAGAGGTCTGCAACACAACCAAGCTGACTGGGACAGCTGCTGGGGAAGACACAAGACATTGTCATCTTGCTCCCTTGTTGGGTGCTCTGGAACCAGTGCCTGATGTGGCGCTGGCTTCTCAGGGGAGCCGTATTAACATTCTGCCTTCCCCTCACCCCTGCCTGGTGCCCTGTGTGTGGTGTTACCCATGCTTTGTGCTGCGTTTGGCTTTTGGTTTTGTGTGCTCAACTATGAATTTAGCTGGTCGCTAGGAAGAGGATTCTGCCACTGGAATGGGATTACTCTGATACATCCTGAAGTCTTTGGGAAGTCTCCCCCCCTAGTTTTGAATAGGTGAGCCTGGGATGCAGAGTGAGGAGAACTGGCGAGAGGGCTGAGAAGTAGTTGTGTGTAGCCTTTTTGTCGTGAATAGGGAGTCAATGTCATAGCCTTTGCTGTTTTTTGTTAGCCTTTGTTTAGAAAAGAGTAAGGGAATTAAAATTAGAGAATTAATGTTACAAGGGAGTATTATTTTTCTATTAAAGAAGTTTGTAGGGCATTACGCTCCCATTGCTGCATGGTAGTGGGATGTTTCTCTTGAACATGATTACAGATGAGGAGGGGCCAGGTCCAGCTTGAGTCTGAGCAGAAATGGTCCTATGGGCCAGTGCTTTATCAGAGAAGTACCACAGTCACCCTGACAGAGGTTATTCTGAGGAGAGGCAGTGTCAGACTGTGAGCATTGCTCCTGACTGGGTATCCGTGTCCTGTGGACTGAGGCTAGCTCTTCACCCGCAGATCCTGAGGGGCTGTCCCAGCTCTCTGGCTCAGGAGCAATGTAGGCTTCCTTCGGTGTGACTGTCTACATGAGCTACATCAGGTGAGCTAGTCCCAATAAGAAGGATGGCAGGATAGGCTTGCTTCAGAAACAGCATACCTGATGGCCTGTTTCTAAAAGTGAAGAGGTACACATTTTTCAAGTATTTGCAGATCTATAAGAGAGTTCTGAATCCAGGCCTTTCACACAGCAGATCTTGGGTCTTCTGTACATCTTGGTTTTACTTCAAAAATAGACATCATTACTTGTCAAAAAGGACATGCTATTTCTTCTTCCTTTGCTAAGAGGCTTATAAATCTAGACCTTTGTTTCCTTTGCTCTTCTTAAGTACCAGAAATGAAATAGTTTGTTTCAAGTTGAATAGGACATGTCAGTTGACATGAAACTTTTTTTTACTAGATTTTTCATTTTGTTAAGAAAAACTGAGAAGAAATGTAAAATTAATTAGTGTGGGCCTGATTTTTTTTTTTCCCTTCCTATGGTGATGTAGTTTTACAGCTATAGTGGAGGATCTGTCATCATCTAGGTTCAGATCAAAATGCCTGCCCAGCATCATGATAAAATTTCGACATCTCTTTCAACTTTGGGTGCATAACAGTGAGATTTTAGTATTGGGTGTCTGGGAATCAGAATGAGAAAATAATTGGAAGGGGAATATCTGTACATAGGAAAGAGACATTCTTTGAGAATGAGCAGTGTATATTTCTGAAGAGTTTTTCCATGCACTGTATACCCTTATTAAAAAGGACATCAGAAGTGGTTCAGCTTCCTTTTAAAGGTGCTCACTTTTGTGAATAATTCTTGAAGAAGAAAACTTGGCTTTTATTATTGTTTCATTGCTCTAAGTAAAAAACAATAAAATGTAATGCAAATATAATATTTACTCTGCATGAGAAAACACAACCCTTGTTTTGTCTTCAGAATAGCAACACCTCTATCGAAAGCATAAACTGATGTTTGAACAATTGCAGTTCTTTAATTCTGCACAATTGGGATAAACACTGAAAAAAAAAAAAAAGTGTGTGCTCTTTTAAATTATTGTGGGATGCTTTTCTTTGCAGGTAAGTCCTCTCTTTAACTGCAGAGTAAGAGTTGATTTGTGGTTTGCTTTTTCCTCTATAGAAACATGAAGATACAGACTGCCCGTGTGTCATGGTTTCATGTCCTCATAAATGTAGTGTTAAAACACTCATGAGGAGCGAGGTAAGAAGTCATGCCCAATGTTGTGCTGAAAAATTAAGGATTTTTTTTAGTAAGATCTCGCAAGAATTTTGCCAGAAGCCATTTCCTTATTAAAATGTGAGATCTAAAGAAAAGCTTTTTCTACCACACAGTTAAGTGTGATAACACTCAAATATTTTCAATGATTTCTTGAAAAACTATTTGAAAATAAATAATTTCTTAGTTTTGTGTCATTATTACACTTGGCTTGCCCAAGATCAGCACATGTCTTTCCTGCTTTCATTTTTACTAGCTCACCCCCTGCACTTCCCCCATTTGAAGCATTTGTTGAGCATAATAGAGCAGCATCTTGGGTTAATTAGCTTGTATTAAAAAGAAATAATGAAAATTTAGTGCACATTTGCAATAGTTAGTAAAGCGTATAAAAATAATATTAATAGATAGGCTCTTCCCATGGAAAAACTTAAATTATTTTAAAATCTGTTAAATTTGGGGAAAATTACTAACTGAAACTTACAGAATTAGTTTAGGATACAGGGTAATATGAGTACAACATGCCAACAGCCAGACGCAAGAATGTATAAAATTCTATCTTGATGTATAGAAGCTTACCAAAAAAGAACCCAAACCTGTCTTGTTTGAACAGATCCATGTTCTTGTACATTAAAAGATGTAAGTAGAGTCTGTCAAAGTCAATGTACGTTATTTTCTTTTCCTAAAAATAGAACTTAGCAAGGGTGGGGAAAAGCTTATTTAAGCCTTCAGCACTCTGTAAGCCTCACTTGAGGAAAGTTGTTTCTGATCTGAGGATAAGCTTTTCTCTTTTCACTGATACTTTACTTCCTGAGTTGTATTCATACTATTTTTAAGTTACACTTGTGGATTATTAATAATGTCATCGTGCCCAAGGCATGTAAGGCACCTGCCAAACACAGGGGCATTCTTTTTCCCAGGATAATGGAAAAAAAAATTAATAGATCCTGTACCTATTAAGAGAAATTGGGCTGCTAATGAAAGAGAATTGGCTCAGTGGACATATTTTCTATTGGTGCTTACTTCTGAGTTTATATCCAGGTTCTGGAGCACTTCAGCATAGTCTTAAATTTTGACTTCAGCAGTTACTTTGAGAAGAGGTATATGCAAGTGCCAATAAGAATTGACCCATTAAAGCCTGGGTCATACATGTATAGTCAATATTGGGTTTTGAAACTATTGGTAGAAACAGAACTTAAAACAGTCATCTTGCCCTGCATCATCTCTTGCTGTATGTTGCTTAATTTTTTTCTGATACTGTGAAAATGTTTATATTACTTAGCTGCATGGTTAGGGACAACAATTGTAATGACAAAAATGGGAAAATGCCTGCCTAACAGTTTGAGAAAATTCTGTAGTGTACAACAAGTGAATATCTTACTGTAGGAAAAAAGGCAATTTTTCATGTTTAATTCATAACTTGGGCACACTTCTAGTTTTCAGAAGTTGAAAATGTGGCATTCTTGGAAAGCCTGTTATGCCATGTCTCATTCTTATTTGATCTTAAGTTTTTTTTTCTGAACCATGTGTCTTTTGAAACTCTCCAGTGAATTTCTACATATAGTGTTTAGAAGATAGTAGGTGTATATCAGAGGTGAGGGACCGATTGCATCTCGGTATCAGATTTTATAGACTGTCCTGTCTGTTCCAGAGCTACACATTCAGAGCAGCATCAGTTCACCACTTCTTTCCATGGAGGTGGATGAACTGAGTCATGTTGGGCCTATGGTGTGGGAATTTCAAATGAGATTTTGAAACCTCAGAAAGTGATGTCAGCCGAGTTAGGCTCTAGCTCCTATCTGCTTGGTGGAAAATCCAAACTGCAGATCCTGTTTTTGAAGAGAGATTGATTGTTGCACTGTCCTTTCCAAAAATAGCTCTTTGCTCCAACTTTTAGGCAGTTTGCATCCTGCTCTTGCCCTCTGTGCTGCAATGGCTGCTGTCTGTATATATGTATATACTTCTGTGAACTGATTTATTTTTAAATGAAAAGTGGTCTGTACTGATAATAATCCAAGATATTGGAATGATTCTCAATCTGTGAAAAATGCAGGCATTTTACTAATCAGTCTTAATTCTATGTACTGCATTTTTTTTAAAGTTACTTAGCTGTACCTATTCTAAAACTGTTTCATGCAGTACTTGTTTAGTCTTTTTTTTGTGTGTGTGTGTGTGTAATTGAACTGTTAAATTTAGGCACAGAGAATTGCATGTTATGTTTTGAAAAATTGGTTCCTCATGGAATTAGGATTAGAAAAAGTATACTTTACTACAGTGAAACTGATCTTAAGACTTGCTCAGAACACCAGTAAAAGAATCACTTGTTGAGAAAAGATTAGTCATTCACAAAAGTCAAATGAAATCATACAAGTAATTGTAGAGTGTGTTCTTTTTGTTTGCTTTTTTTAATTGGGCTGCCTATTGAAAGAGTCTTTAGTAGAAGTTTCACTGTATATTAAATGTATCACACTGTATACTGTACTGGCATGTGCGTGTGGTTGACATATGTGTATATATGGTATTTGCACTTTAGATCAGACTGGAGAAAATATACACACGTGTGTTGTATGTTCTGCAGATGGCACACAATACAAGCCTGATAACCTGTGCCCTTTATGTTTTGAGCATTATCATGCAAACGTCTTTTGCCAAAACTCACATTTTTTTCCTATTGCAGTTGAATGCACATTTGTCAGAATGTATTAATGCCCCAAGTACCTGTAGTTTTAAGCGTTATGGCTGCACTTTTCAGGTCAGTATATAACAATTATACTTCCCAATTGATGAAAGTCTGCAATTAGAACCTAACTCTTTGACGTGAAAGTTCTGGACTTCGCTAGTCTTGATTAAGAAAAAGTCATCTGGTTGCACCAAGTCATTATGCAGCAAATGTTTGGTTTTGCATCTTAAAAATAAGTAGTACAAAAAGCCCACACATTCCAACAGTGGTTTGGGAGTTCAGTTATTAGGTACATCTTGTTGAAATAGGAATATGATACACTTGACGAACTTTTTAACTTAGAGTGAGAGGAAAGTCACTTTTATTCTTCAGAAAATAAGCTAGTAACTTCAGCTGTTTCTGTTAAAAGTATTTATTCTCTTGAGCTAAGGATGTTTATATTTTCTCTCATTTCTGTGTCTTAATATTTTTTACTAAGGTTAAACATAGATTAGTGCACTCAAAACATGTATTTTTATGTGCATTCATACGTCTGTGTGCACATAGGTGCATAATTAAAGCATAGCATGAAATTTATTTTTAAGAAAGTTTTAGTTTTTAATCCTGGCAATCCCTGCACTATTTAAAAAGAAAAAGCCAAACCTCAGAGTTTAGTTTCAGTAGTACTATTCTAGTCTCTTCCAATAATCTGCTTCCCTTAGCATGTATCTTGGGGAATTCGGATGCTTATGTATTGAAGAGATTAGTCAGGAAATTTCAGAAACTGCTGACAGGAAAAAACCACTTTATTAGATGTTATGATTCTTTCGCTAGCCTGTGATAGTTTACAGAGACAAGAAATGTAAGCAGCAACACTTCTCAGTAAACTACTTCCTGCAGGTATTTCCAGGTTCTTAAATAATGAGCATTCATCATTCTAAGTGTTAACAGTAATGCTCATAGTGGTAGAACTGATCAATGCTGTAACTTGCCCACTGTTATGTCGTATGTATTGCCATTCATTTTATGTATGTATATGTGTGCATATATGTACATATATCCACATATATATTTTAGTATTTTATATAGAGTACATACCTTGAGGATCATTGAAACCTTTTCAGTTGCTTTGCATCATATCTACCATCAAAGCTAATATGTTCTGCATTGCAAAACACTTACTGAAGTAGGTGTAATGCAACACAATACTAATTAAGAAATATGGTCTACATCTTATGTACTCTGTATACGATCTATGTGTGTTCTGTAAACTTTTTATATAGTGGTTATTTGTAACAGCATTTATAGGTTGTGCAGAGGCAGCATATCTGAATATTACAGAGCAATCACAGTAACATATTAGGTATTGTAGTATCTCTCAAAGTAGTTTATAAAGCTGGCAGTTTCCAGTGATGATAAATTTATCTTAAATATTTCTCTTTAATACTCAACCAAGGGAAAATTTAGTGTTTATGAAACTGTTTGTGAAATAAAACAGAGATTTTAATTTACGTTTTGGGAAATTGGACGCTTTAGGGTTTGTATGACTTGAGAGTTTTATTGTGCTTTATTTAGCGTAAAGCTACTCGGAAGACTCTAAAATACAATTCAATTCATAAATCTTGTTCATCTTGTCTCTGACGTATCAAGCACACTGAATGGAGCTATATGGCAGTTGTATATTACTATATTAAATGTATTCCCGACTTGTGTAAATTCCCAGGTAGATTCCCCTTCACTCTATGGTTCCGCAACATGCATCCGTGAACCATAATATGTAGTGTTGGTTCGATGTCTTGATATACTCTTTCTTTGTAGGTTTAAAAGAAGTGGAATTGGCTAAAATGTATAAATTCTTTGTTGTCACAGGGAACAAACCAACAAATTAAAGCACATGAAGCCAGCTCAGCAGTGCAGCATGTTAACTTATTGAAAGAGTGGAGCAATGCTCTAGAAAATAAGGTATATCTTCTACTCACTTCTAATTTTTATTGATTTCTTTAAGTCATATAAAAGTACAGGAAGAAGCTTTTTTTTTTTTTTTTTAATCTGTTTCACAGCTGTTCAACAGTACAGCTAAAGCATGAGTAGGCTTCAAAAGCAGTCAAGCCATTTAGAATATCTGATACCTTTGTTATAAAATGCTGTGAGAAACTTGGCTTCACAACTCCATATACAATTTTCTTCATTGGTAACTTAGTAAAAACACTTTCTTCACATAGATGCACAGTCCAGAAATAAAATTCCTCTCTGAGCTGCCTTCTTACAAAAGGGAGGGTTCAGAAAGCTATGGCTGCACTATGAGCCATATTTTTGCTACTACTTCAGTATTTTTCCAGAGATAACATTATTAGAAATACCAGGTAATAAAATGGTTATTTTATTTCTTTTTGTTCTTGCTCTCCAAACTTAATGACCTGCAAAGGTTAATTAAATTACACGTATTGTAACTCATGCACACAATGATTTCTGCTTCAGTGCTAGACCAGAATGAAGTTCATGTTGCAGTGCTTCCTTGGGACTCCTGGTTTTAGATAGTTTGGGATTTGGGTGATGCTGGAAACCGTATTGGTATCAGCTGTGATCTTGTGAATTGTTTGAATGACTTAAGCATCTGTTAGTTGTAAGGTTTTGGTTTAAAAATACAAAGCGTCAGAACAAATTGCTGTTTTCTTAGATCTTCTTGAAAAAGTTTCACACAGCTATTGAAATAATGTTTCTGCTTTTTCTTTTTGGAGGGGGGAGTGGAATCCTAATTACCAAACCATTCTACAAATGTAGGCAAAAGAGTCAGGAGCCCCCTCAGATTTCTCTAGAATGAGTTAAATAAGAGTAGGAATTCCAGTGTAAATTCAGTGGCAGTTACGATATGTGTGGCTTGTGAATTTGTCACCTCACAGCAGCCTGCTAGTTCAAGTTTAGCAAATGCTGTCTAGAAAGCCTTTTCCCTTCTTGGCCTACAGTGATCTCTCAGGCGTGGGTTTCCAGCCAGGTCCTGCAGCCACAAGGAAGTATAGTTTTAAAGCAAAAGTTAACAGACAGAGCAAAATATGATTTTGACCCCAGGACATTTGTCCCTGGATTCCATGTTTTTGAACTTGAATCCCTATAAGGAAACCAATGAACCTGGGAGAGGTCTAGTTTGTTAAAACAGAATTTTTGTTACATCTGTAGGTCTTAGTTTGATAATCAATAACAAAACTGAAATTTGCTTTTGCACTTGAATCCCTTCATTAATGTAGGAACTGCACATTTTTTGGTTTTAACAGATACAATATCCTTAGTTCTTTTTTCTATAGTCTGATTAAAACTATACAATTTATTTTACATCATAGGAGAAAACCATGTTTCATGCGACTTCCAGAATAGACAATGTTCTGCCTTTTGTCAGTGTCCTCAGAGATGCTTTATCATTTAAAAAATGCCCAATAGTTCTATGTTTGTCTCTTCTTACAGAGCTAAGAGTATACACTTTACTACTTTTTTTTTTATGTTCAATTTCCATTTTAACTTTCATTTAGGACATAACTGCTTATCATTGTTTGTCCATTTTTAATTTTTTTTTTCTTTTCACTTCCTGCTTTGTAGACTTCTTCCTATTCATAATAAAGAGTTGAATCACTGGAAATCCCAAGACCGTGCCAAGTTACCAGAATAGCTAACCACATATCATATGTCAGTGACTTTATACTAGAGAAGGGTAACAAAATTATTTGTAACTTCATTGTTGTTCTCGCCTTTGAGAAAAAAATAATCAATGCACTGAAGAACAACAGTGCAACATTAACTTGGCTGATGAATATCGTAGAAATCTTGGCCCTGCTGAGGTCAGTGGAAGTCTTGTTGGTCTCTGTAGGGCCAGGATTTTATTTGGATTACTTCCTGCGGTATGTCTGGAGGGGAGAGGAGAAGTTCCCTTCTCCAGTCATGACGTTCTTTAACAGACCCTGTGGAGTATGCAGACTGAAAGCCTTCAGAACTGCAAAGCCCGTGCGAAGTTATCAATTGGGTAGTTGAGTGATACTATTGGCAAAAAGTAGTAAGAGAAAGTCAGATGTAAAATCTTGAATCAAAGCTTTGTGGGGCAAATTAAAATTCTATGTTTTGTTCACTGTGTGATGGGACAGACTTGTGGACTGAACTCCCATGGGGTTTGGGATGTTGGAAGTAATGAGTTGAATGTAATTTTGTGGCTTCACCACGCTCTTAAATCTGGCATAAACTGTTTTTTCTTTTTTAATATGTGACTTAAATATGGGACCTCTTTTAATCCAGTTCTTTGTGACGTAAGGATTCTTCCATTCTTTTCTAGTAAGAAATAATAAGCAGTTGCTTATTTGAAAAACTGCTGAATAAAAGCATGCTTTGTCCTAGGAATATTTCAAATATGACAGGGAAGTAAAGGAAGCTGCTTGCAGTTTGTAAATAGATCTGATGTTTCCTTTACCTTGTTTTTTAACTGAAATTCCAAAGACTTACACCAAATGCAACTGGGAAACAACATTTAGTATTAAACATTTCTTCACAAATTACCACAAAACTGCACCTTCTGACTTAGTGATGGCAGTTCTGTATGATTAAGGCCTGCAGGACATAATTCTGCTTTTTTTGTATTCTGTAAAACTCCGTGGATAATCTCGGAACCAGACAGGCCCACATTTTATAACTTGTATAAAAATGAAGTGTGATGCTAGTGAGACAGAGTGTAACTGCTGCATGACTGGGAGGCCTGGGGAGGAAACTGTGACAAGAGGGGAATGTAAAGATCACAATTAACAAAAGAACTCTGCACTAAGGAAGAGGAGGATGCAAAAAAGTTGAAGTGGCTGCCCAGTAGATATGAAATATGTGGAAGGCAGGAATACTAGTTTAAATTTAAACTTGTTCTTGAAAATTTTCTCAAGTACCCAGGCATGTATTCATTCAGCCTTGGGATTGTTTCTCTCTCTGCACTGGCAAAATTAGCTTGTCTCATTTCTGTTGAGCCTCTTCTGCCAGTTTTTCCATATATAAAATGTGGAACTAATGTAGGTGTGTATATGCATGTATGTAGTGCTGTGTTGAAAAGTCGATACGTGCACGTACTCTGGTGTCTCTGCTTTTGGACCCCATCTGATAAATCTGCTCAATGCCTGTGGACTTTGGCAGTCCATTGTCTAGTTTAGGCTAGTGTAGAGATTGAAATTATTTACCTTTTTGAACAGCCTAGCTTCTTAAGTCTAGGAATGTAGTGACACTTCAGTGATTTGACTTATGTCTGATTAGAGGGCAGTTAAGGTGGTGGAATTCTAAAGTGGTACCCACATCAGAGTTAAAAATGGCTTGACCTCAAGCTGGCATGTGTATGAGGGGTAGTGGCTTAGATTTTTTGGGGAATGTGAAGCATCCAGATAGTTGGTCCTAATGTGGAAAGTTTTTCAAGATTTTCCTGTGTCAGAAATGGTGCTGCTTCTTATCCATAGAAATTTTTATCTGTAAAACTAGTTGGGGCATGTCAAGGGTTTGTTTTCTACATTTTTGCCACTGAATGAACTCGCCTGGGGCGGGGCAGGGGCTGCTAGGGAAGCAACCCACCACCACAGATCAACCCCCTTTGTCAAGCCACATTAATGAACAGAGCACAAAATAGTGTGACAGAGAATGCTTAACTGTGTTACTTTCATCCCCAAGGAGATATATTAGATGTTATTCTTCTAACAAGGCTCATGTTTTAAAATCGAGTCACTAATGAATGAGTTCATAAAGTGTCAATACAGAGAGAGAATATAATCTGCAGCCTGTAGCTCTTCAGTCTTTTCTGCTAGGAGGCACCGTTGGATTTTCCTTTAAAGGCATGGAACCCTTTTGTATTCACACTCATTTCAGGAGGTTTCATAACCATCACATTCTGTGAAGCCAAGCCAATCCCATGCAGATGATATTTTTCATTAAATTTGCTATAGATCAGGATAGATTGCAGTAGGTGGGGAAGATTAATGTTCCCTTTCCTGACTCACTTTTGAGCTGCTCAGCTTCTCTCTGGTATCCCTTCTGTGCAGGGGTCGAGTTCTTAACACTGATCTAGAGCTAAATAGATTATTTCTTCCAAACTCCAAGCAACTACCAAGTCAGTTAGTGGAAACCAGGAAACCAAGCTATAACATAACAAACTGAATAAAGAAAATATGATGCTTAGACATAAGTTCTTTTGCTGTTTATGTATCCCATCTGTACTTTCATTAGCCAGAGTTGTACCAATACCACACTGTGGAAGTGCAGAAGTAGCTATTGGAAGGTTGGGGTTTATTTATTTATTTGCAAGACATGGAGAGAGATTTTACTAGGATCTCATTCCTTTCATGTGTGTAAGATAGTTTTAAACTAACAAAGTTACAGGTATTTCTAATAAACTTTGGCAGGAGTAATTGTAGAATTTTTTCCAGGTGGCCTTGCTCCAGAATGAAAGTTTGGAAAAGAACAAGAGTATACAAACTTTACATAATCAGATTTGTAGCTTTGAAATAGAAATTGAAAGACAGAAGGAAATGCTGCGGAATAATGAATCTAAAATACTTCATTTACAGGTAAGAAATTTAGAATCTCCCCATTAAAGCAGAAATGGTAGTAGCTTCTATTCTGTGCCTTTATACGTGCGAAGTGAGGTGTTCTAATTAAAAAGGGGGGAACAGAGTTTACCTTATTATAAAGCTATTCTGATATTATTTTTTTTCTTCTCATCAGTAGGTGGTTTATTGTGTTTGTTGGAGTAAGATACTTCATTAAAACCCTGTAGTTGCCTAGCCTGTGTTAAAACAAGACCCCTTGTTTAAAAAGGGAGAAGACTGAAAGCAAAATTACAAATCTTATCTGAAGAATAATCATAATTATTTTTTTCTTCCCTATAAAAAATAACTGCGTGAGGAACCCAAAAAACTGGAGGACAAGATTAGCACCTTAAAACTGTCATATGTATAATGTTGTGTTTGGTGGTTTGTTTTTTTTTTTTTACTTTCTGGTTTTTTAAAAAAACACTGAGATCAGTCTGATGTGGAATTAACTCAAACATAATACAATGCATTTGAATACACTTTTTAAAATCCATGTTTCTCCTGTCCTTATGAGGAAAATGTATCTTATTATTCCTTTGCCAGTAGGTCTGAGTTTCTTATTCTGTGATCAGCATCACCTTGCCAAGAGCCAGTGTCAAACTAGGAATCCTCAGAATGCTTCTACCATGGTACTTAGCCCAAGCTGAAATTATTTGTTTTGCATTCAGAGATGACTTGGAATGTGGATGCTGGGAATTTGTGTTAGCTTATGTGATGCTAACCACAATTAGGGAAACCTCAGGAGATACTTAGCAAGCTGTTGTGAAGACATTTATGTTACTTTAGTGTGTCTGCTGCTAGAATATCAGATACCTGTTTTAGCATCCAGCTTAAAGGAATGTAAATAAAATTATCTTTTTCATTTACTGTTCATTTCACATACTAAACTGCAAATGTTGATACTCACAAAAGATACAAGTATCTGAACTAGATTATGGCTAAAATTCAAAGAGTAGCACATTCAGGAGCTCACAGCCTTGAGGCCCTTGATGTTGCTTTATAAGGAAACCTTTGTTTGGCAACAGCAGCATTTCTTCCTTATAGGACTTATTTCTTCCCATGTTCTGTTCATATAGTAACTGGCTTGGCCTGTCTTAGTCATTGTTATTTGCTCTGTTGATTGTCTGGGATATGACTGCATGCTTACAATATTGCATTCTGACACTATGAAGCTAATCCTTGTATATATTAATACTGGTGATTGTATCTACCAGGAGGTAAGTTAATTTGTAAGCCTGGGGCTCTTACACATGATATCTCTGTAACCAGTGATGAGAGGAGAAATGGAAAAAAATACAAAGTGGAGCTTTTTGTCATTGTCTTGATGACAGATTGCAATATCTGTGATTTCCTCAAGCTGTAAGTGTTAGCAAAATGAATTTTCAAAGGGTTTATGTTTAGAAAACCACACAAAACAATATGGTTAGCAGATTCCAGCAGGTGGCTTTTTGATGGTAGTGAGTACTGGATATGTTTTGCTCTTCTTCCTCCTGTCCCTCCTCTTTACTACTTCTCACTAGCTATTTTAGGTTAGTTATTTTAAGCCAAATTGTGTTTTACAGTTATTTCTACCTGATCCCTTCCACTTACTGGTACTTCCTGGTTCAGTCAGGTTGTTAAGAGTATCTGGGAAACACACCCCAAGTTGTTTTTCCCTGGACACTATAATTAGCCTCCTTCTGTTGCCTACTGTGAGCTGAAGGAGTTAGTTACCTGTTGAGAGCCATTCTTTTTCTGGGTTGTGTTGAGCAGTTATAACTATACAGAGCCACAGATACTTCCAGTGTAGAACTAGCCAGTTCAGGTCCGGACAAGTGATATTTGCTTAGTCCCCCAGGTCCTGTACATGCTAGTCATTTCTAGTACAGTTTCAGTATTAGTTGTCATGCAGGCTGCTCTGGCTTGGGAGCAGCTGTCTCCCTGAGCACGAATGGCAGCATCCGCACTGCGAGGCATTTAGAGCAAGTAGTGTAAATACATCAAAGGTGTCTGGGCACTGGAAGCAGCCTCAGCCTTGAGAAGTTTTGATTCAGATTAATTTTCTACACGCTGGACTCTAGGAAAACTGTTTTTACCAAATGAGTATATAATACTTTTTCAACTGCTGCCTTGTGGAAGGGAACTTTGACATCTGGTGTCCTGTCTTTCCTGTGAGTATAGGGAAGTGTATTAGTAAGCCAAGCCTTAAGCTTAATGTGGACATGAGGTACTTAAAGGCAAAAGAAATAGTGGCCTTATGAATATAAAATGTTTTGATAGGTGATATGTTCCTTCAAGGGAGGAGGATGTATGATTTGCTTTCCCAGCCAAGTAGTATCTTTGGTTTCTTTTCCAGTGTGTTCTTTAGCTTTTTGGTATTGCTCTATCAGTTGCAATGGAAAGGCCTCTTAAGAGCATCTGAAAAAGACAGAACTGGAAATATAGCTTTCTTCAGGTCATCATGACACTGTCTAAATTCTTCTAGTAATAATAGTGCTAAAACTCTAGAAATACCAAACAAAACCTAGATGAAAATTAACATCAAGAAGAACCCTCAGTGATTTGCCAGGCGTATAACTCTGGAGTAATGATCTGGAGAGGTCAGTTGCTGGAATAAAAAGTGCATGCAGAAAATTGATACCTACTTGAAAATTTATGAGTACAGTGTGAGATATATGTGTGCTTTCTAATGGAATAATTAGAGTGACATTCTCCACTGCTGCATTAAATTCAGATTTAGTACATTATTATCTCCCAGCATGAGGGAAGTTGATTCTCTGTAGGGTAAAAAGATAGCGATTCCACTGCTTTTTATAAACAAAATAGAAGTCTATTTCTGATTATTCTATGTCTCCTGAGTTCTCTTGAAGAGGTACGGGAGATAAAATTCTACACCTTTGCCAACATGTAATAGAGACAGCTACAGACCAAAACTGGTTGTGCATGTACAAAGGTAGAATGTTGCACAACAGGTTTATGGAGAGAAGTTGGTCCCTAGTAACAACTTGTAGTAAACTTCTCCCAAAAGAAGAATAGATGCCAGTTCTTCTGCATCTTTAATGCTTTCCCAGTTCATCTAAAAATGTATTTATTCATTTTGCTTAGTACTGTGTCAGTGCCAAGAGATCCCAGTGGGAAATCAGAGCATCTCCGTGTGAGGCACTGTACAAAACCACAACCATGTTTATTGTTCTTGCCTTGGAGAGTTCGTGTTTTGTGTGAGTGGAGGAAAGAGGCAGGATTTGGGCACACCTTGGGCTTACTTCTGCATGTTAACTATTAACTAATGACCAAGTCTTGTGGCTCTGCTCTTAAAACATTCACCCAGGCTATGCCATGGTGTGTTTCCTTTTCTATGTGTGGCTAACAGCCCTTCTTTATTTTGTTTTCTGATTACCATTGGTCCAAGTGAGAGGGTGTGATTGTGTTGGTAGGTGATTAGTACATCCAGGCAAGTTGCTTAATCTGCTTAATGGGACCATACCCCTGCATTTATGTTTCAGTACACAGCTTTCCTTCACAAAGTCCTGATTTTGTGTATAAGATCTATAAGCTTGTTTTAAAATACCGACATAGAAATAGTTAATCTTGAAATAGGTTAGATTACTTGAAGGTTTTGAGACACATCAAAATAAAAGTGTCTTAGAACATGATTTTGCTAGCAGGCTTATCAAATTGACAGCCTTCAATTAATTGTTACAGACTTTCAGTATAACTGAAACCACATGATTAAAAGCAAATGCCTAAAAGGGGAAATGAAGGTTGCATGAGGCAGAAGGGTTTTCCCCATCAGTGGGGAACATTGAATCCACATGGCTAACCAGAAGGCAAATGCAAAATAACTTTATTTTCTTGTTTGGTACTCAACTGCTACTTTTTTTTTATCTTAACAAGTGAAAAACCATTTTTACACATGTTGGCGCTATACAATTTTAAACTATAAAGTTAGATTTGGAATTTAACTGTAGGTGGTAGCAAAAGTAGTTTCTTGCTTCAAATGCTTGTGTTATGAATTACACTTTGCAACTGCGTATGGGGTTCTGGCTAAAATTCCTGCTAAGCCATATTGGCTGTGATAACGTGAAATGCTATGTATTTCTTGAATCAGATTTGAGGTAGACTGGGAAATATATTCTTCCTTATATTTGTAACGAACAGAGGTGCTTGCAATGTCCCTCTTTCAGAGATTACCAGCCTTTCTGTATGTTCCTTCTGGGTTACTATATCTCATGCCTTTCCAAAATCAACTGTGTTTTGGTTTTTTGTTGTTTTTTTTTTCCTTTGTGTTCTTAAAAAGAATCAACCAGCAAGCAACTTCAGGACTCATGGCTTATTTAATTTAGGAAGTACGGGTGGGGATTTTGAAAGTGCTTAAGTGGACAGAAGTGGTAGTTTTGCTTGAGCTCTTGAGGGCTTCAGCTGTCATTATGGGCACATAACAATCTAGGCCTTGCTAATTAATTTATGTGATCTTGGAGCTTGCTGATGCGGCTGTATCTGTACGTGCATGTGCTCCTGCTCCACGTGTGCAAGAGCGCTGATGCTTTTCTGGAGGGGTAAGATGTTTTGTTGTTACCCAATTATAAATACATACACGAGCAACCACTTGATTCACACCATGGTAAGTTGTTGTGCCCAGACGTTGTTGCTTAAGTACTCTGACACAAAACCAAACAAATATTGTACTGAATGTTGTTGTATTGATATTACAGGCTATTGTTCTTGTGTTGAAAGAATATTATTTTTTAAATTTAGACAAGAGCACACTAACAATTCCTTCTCACAAAATGCCTTGATAATTCTGGTATTCTGCTCTAATATTTATATGTACGCAGCAGTAAATATTTTTATAAGTGTTTTATAAATACTTGGGCTGTTCCTCTAAATTTTAAAGTTTTGTTTTATTAAAACACTTGACATAAGTGAAACTTATTTGTTGGAAATGGACTTCATTATCAGTATATAATCCGTGTTTAACTTACATAAATTAATGTATTTTTGTTATTTTAACTCTTAACTTACTGTTTTATAAAGCGAGTGATAGACAGTCAAGCAGAGAAACTGAAAGAGCTGGACAAAGAAATCCGTCCCTTCCGACAGAACTGGGAAGAAGCTGACAGCATGAAGAGCAGTGTAGAATCCCTCCAGAACAGAGTGACTGAGTTGGAAAGTGTTGACAAAACTGCAGGGCAAGGAGCTCGAAATACAAGTAAGTCTAAGCACAGAGGACTGAAGTCCTCAGCAGTGCTGCCAAGAGAAGGTGTCTTTTGCATGGCTCTCCCATTGTGATTTTCATGCAGAAGCATCAAATAATGCCGATTCTTCTGATTTTTTGAGTTGGAAACTGTATAACCCTTTTGTTGATGTAATGTTGCTTCCACACTGTTTCTTAGGCTTGATTCTTTTACCTTGTTTTCTTGACCCTTGTCTTGATTACAATGTTGTTTCATTATTAATAGTTTCTCAATTGGTCTTTGACAGCTAAAAGCTTTCAGCAGCTGCTTTAAATACAGCCTAAGTATAGTGACAAGTTGTCTTTTATTACTCTTCTCCCCCATGAATGGGTCAACAGTATGGGGGGGAAACCTGAAACCACCTGTCCTGATTTCTGTTACAGAGGTACATTTGATCCAAAGAAAACTGAGATCTGTGAAGAGAAAGGTTATTGTCATGCTTGCTGAATAAAGTGAAAACTGGAATTTAGCAAGATAGTGTAGCTTGTATGTAAGTGTTTAAATGACTGGGGCCAAGAACTTAACATCTAAATAGATCTGCATAAGACAGACCTGCCTTATGAATTCGTCTGCTCCTCAGTATTGTACGTTGGCCACTTTTGCTGGTGTGGAAAGACAGAAATGTTTTCATGTGAGGGAAAGGGGATGTTAAAAAACACCCCTTCCTCCAAACAAAGTGACCATATAATAAATGTTCTGGTTTTTTTAATGAGCTTTAGACGTAGTAACAACACTACGCTTCTGAGACAAATAGTGTCTGAGAAGAATATTTTAAGTGGTTAGTGGTGCTTCTGAATTTCAGAGCTGGCAAACTATTTTCTGTGGGAAAAAATTGCTTCATCAGTGGCCAAATGCACTTTGGTTCTTGAAGGGGGAAAGTGTTTTCGTTTGCAATAGCAGCATTGGCGATTGATTTTTTTTTTTTTTTTTTTTTTAACAGTCTTAGGGGAAAAAAAAAAAAAAAACGAAACCACTTTTCTCACCCCCATCCTTTCCATTTTCTAACAGGCCTGCTAGAGACACAGCTGAGCAGACATGACCAGATGCTGAGTGTTCATGATATTCGGCTGGCTGACATGGACCTCCGATTCCAAGTTCTAGAAACTGCCAGTTACAATGGAGTATTAATTTGGAAAATTCGCGATTATAAACGTCGGAAGCAAGAGGCAGTCATGGGGAAGACTCTGTCCCTGTACAGCCAACCCTTTTATACTGGATACTTTGGCTATAAGATGTGTGCCAGAGTGTACCTCAACGGAGATGGGATGGGAAAGGGGACGCACTTGTCGCTGTTCTTTGTCATAATGCGTGGAGAGTACGACGCGTTGCTTCCCTGGCCCTTTAAACAGAAGGTGACTCTCATGCTAATGGATCAGGGACCTTCCCGGCGCCACTTAGGAGATGCTTTCAAGCCTGATCCAAACAGCAGCAGTTTCAAGAAGCCAACTGGAGAAATGAACATTGCATCTGGCTGCCCGGTCTTCGTGGCTCAAACTGTTCTAGAGAATGGAACGTATATTAAAGATGATACTATTTTTATTAAAGTCATAGTGGATACATCGGATCTACCAGACCCCTGACATACAGCGGGGGAGGCGGATTAAACAGCAGTCGACTCCGTTTGGGGGTTTTATATCAGTTTGTCTTCAATCAGAGGTCCTAAAGCTCACAGAACCACCTTGTGGAACAGATGGAAGAGTTTGAAGGCATAACTGCATAGGGTCCAATTGCGAAAGTAGCAACACATTAAGAAATCATACCATGGTATATTTTTTAATAGAACTAGCAACACTTAAGCTCTGAAGAGTCACTTATCCCTCATGAGGATAATGATTATGGTCAGAGAGGATTTTTTTTTTTAACTTATTAACGATCTAGTCAATTGGAGGTGAAAAGACATATACAGTATGTGCTGAATAAATTACTGACTTTTATTTCTTTAAGCTAGAATACAAAAAAAAACCACCAACCTTCACACGTGGGCTAGCTGGAAATTGTCAGCATGTTAAAAGAAGAAATGATGAAGTAATGTTGCAATTATGATATTATTTGAAAAACTGAGGTGCAATCTTGTCTGAAATATAGTATATTGTCTTTTTAAGGCCTCATCTGGTCTCTGTTTTAATAATTACTTTGTCAGAAGATCTTGGAAAAGTATCCATGTCTTCTTAAAAGTATGAATCAAAATCATATTTTTATTTAAAGTTCTATTGTTACAAGAAAACATTTTATTTTAAAACTGTTGATAGACTGATATTTCTTGGAAGAAAAATAGAAAATATCAAACACTGGTTATCACTTGTGATAGGAAAAAAAAACTATTCAATTCTGTTATTTCTCTTTAGAAATGTAAACCTACAATATATGTCGTAGTTAATGACACTATTTCAAAATTAAGGAAAAATCACTCATGGATGCTGTGCATCATTATCAGATTTATAATTGTTTTCACCCTAAAATAGGGCATTTGTTGAACTTTGGAGTTCTAAACGGAATCCTGTACATTTTTTAAAGTTCTGCCCCATGCTTTCCAACCAAGCTATATATGTTGCACATTATGCTGTCAGCAGTATATAGTATTTTCAGTATTGGGGAGGAGGATTAGTGCTGAAAAAAAGCCTCTGTGTTTGTTCTGTACTAGCAGCCATTGCTTCTTAAGGACAAATCAGCAATGTCTTAATATAGTGATGGTGGCTTGCATGCATACATGTGCCTTAGATGTGCTGTGCTGCTTATAAACCATAGCTTTTTATTCAGATTAATTCTGATATCTGAAATGGTAGTTTAATTGGACTTCAGGCATAATGTTTAGCCTTGTCTTCAGAGCCCTTCGGTACCTCATGATGTACAAAACAGAAGCCAAAGCCTGTTTCTTTGGTTTCTGGAGCTTGTATGGCTCGGCCGTGGTGGGATCCATCTTATCAGGTGCCAAAACGTTATGCTCAGTGCTCCTATGGAGCTTGGACTAGAGAGTCTCCATGGCCACTGTGAAGGCAGGTGACATTTTTCCTCTAATGCCTGTGGTTGTAAGGTGGCATCACTTGAAACAGACCCATCTGAGAGCTCTCTGGGGCTGTGAACGTATATGCTCGTGACAGCTTTTCCTAGCAGACAAGCATCCTAACAGGGAGTGCACGGGCTTCTTTCTTGTAACAGCCTGAACTGTAGTGGAAAGCATTTGCTAGCCCTAAAACATGCTGATTGCAACCTGCTGTGTTCATCTGCTGCTCTTTACTAGATGCCTGTGACTAGCGAGCCTAGAGACGCAGCCTGACTGTGGTGCTCTCTAAAATCCCAAGAGCCGCTGAAGCAGAGCAGACTTGCACCACTGTGGCTTTAGCCTTCGTGGGCTTGGAAGGAAACCTTGCATCTCAGCCCTCAATGTCAGGTTGGATCGGTCTGCTGCTTTTGAGGCATAGTCACAATTATTGTCCAAGGTGCGGTTGAATTCATGCCATTGTATTTCAGCTTGTCTCTGCCCGTTGTCTTTTTTGGCTGTGCCTTCACACACAGTGCCTGCAAGAAGTATTTATGAATATACAATGCATGCTAAGTGGTCTTCGTGGGTTTTCCAGGCACCTGCTAGAATACTGCCTGCTGCTGACAGTCGCAACCGTCGTCAGCAACTTGTCTTCCTTTTCTTGCCTTCCATTGTCCAGGTACTGTACTCCCTCGGTGGTACGTAGCTGTCAACAGGTGCAAGCTCAAATATGGGGGCACGTGCTAGCATTTAGTTTCTAGCACGGAAGGAGGACATTCTGCACAAGAGACAAAGATCTACAGATATACCTGCATCTGTATATCTCTAGACATAACTGTATGGCACTTGCAGTTTTATGCAGGCTGCATAAGCAAACCCATCACTTACGCTTCAGGGCGAAGGTTCGCTCAACTTGTGTCATTTTAATAATCGTGAATGTAGGCAGCTGAGCTTTTGTGTTTGTGCATCACAGAATTTTACTGAAAACAGGATTCCCAAGTGGAAATGTCCAAAGGACTCTCCTCCCATTGCTAATGCATGTCTTGTAAACTTAAACTGAAACCGTTTGGCCATCTCAAAACAGTGTATATCTTGTTTCAATCTGGGACTTGGAGGAGATTTCTAGTACAAGCAGGGCCCAGCATATTCTGCAGATTTGTAACTACAGTTTCCAATTCCTGTGACAGAATTGCGCTTCTAAATCCAGGCTCTTTAAAAAAAGCGGAGGAAAAAAGTGTTTCCAGCCTTTGTGATTGAAAGAGGACTTTGAAACATGCGAAAAAGTGTAACTAATAGGGAAGTCTTCCTGAGTCTGCACACAGCCTAAACTAGTAGCTTTAAGAGATCTGAATATCTCCTCCTAGTGGGATATTGACTCAGAAACTTCACAGAGAAGTTTAAATATGAACACTGCTAACTATACTAATGCCGATCACTGTAGCAGAAACATCAGTCACTGTTGTATTTCACAGATCTCTATGCTGCTTTCCACATCTCCCAAGTGCCAAAAGCACCAGCTGCCAGAATCTTCAGCTTCACTTGGGCAGCTTTTATAATGCAGTAATGTGCTATCGATATAAAAATATTTTTGCATATGTGCTTTTTATCACAGTTAATAAAAAGGAGGCCTACTGCACTTATTTTTTAAAACTACATGAAGCTGCCAGAGAATTTCCAGTTTGCCAACCCTGCGTACTGTGAAATCCGGGATCTTGCTACACAAGCGTAGACACCGCCTGCTGTGGAATACCTGAAGCCTTGACTGTAACCCCCCTTTCTCCACAGAACTCACGGGCCATCTCTGTAGAGTTCTTACTGTGTACATAGAAATCGGTTTTCTCTGCTTTCCAGCAAGGAGTATGTAGCATTTTGTGAAAACAAGGCCACTATATATTCTCTAAATTGAAAAGAAAAGATACCTGGTGCTTTACTCAACATTTTAAATAATTTAAACTTTTACTCTCATCATTGAAATGCCCTTTATCCTTTTTTCTATATGTTCCTGACCCAGATATCCAAAGTTTTCTAGGGACTGTCTGTTTGAAGTGATTCATGGGGCTACAGCCTGCCCTCACGCATACTCTTGAATCCCAGCTGACTCCTGTGGTGTGCCATTATTGCAAGGGGGTTCCAGAGTATTTGCATTACTTTGGACAGAGTTTCTTCAGTGGAGCCTTTTCTCTCTGCTTAGTAACTCTTAGCAGCACACAGCTGAAGTCTCTTGCTGGTGTTCTTTCCTAATGGTGACACTTCAAGTTACGTATAAGCCTTTTCCATTTCCAGCTTTCTCTAGAGAGATTCCAGTGTGTGACAGTCTGGATGTTGCCCTTTTTGTACGCCCTTCAGCACAGGGTGAGTGCATCTGTTGCCTAGAAAGTCTTGAATTCTAAACAGGATGAAACTATTTGGGTGTTCAATGACCAACCTGCGATTATGATGCATGACCATGTCTGCATTACTTCTCTGATCTAATGAGAGGGGTCTTGTTTCAGTTACTGTCTACATTGGTACACCTTCAACTGCTGACTTACAATATGCAATGTTGATTTCAGCCTTGTACTGTAAATGTTGTTCTTCACAAAGAGAATGTGCAATAGGAAAAGGAGATGTTGGGTGGCGCAATTTGGACAGGAAAAAGAAAAATGTGGGTAACATGCTAGCTTTCTTATAAATATGAAATACAGTTTATTTCCTTCTTCCAAGGGTTTACCTGCTTGGAAAAGGAACGTTGAAGATATGTGCCTGTTTCTATTCCTGGTGAATTTCTCAAATGCAAAGGATAATAGAGATTTGTGTTAGTTGTAATTTAAGTCTTGAACCCATGAATGTTAGGTTGTGATTGTTTTGCTCGTGTTTCTCGGCTTGCCTCGGTTATGGCTTGTTGAGATGGAGTTTAAAAGCTACCACCTATTTGTATCTGTGTTCCATCATGGGGGATAGGCATTTCACCAACAATGCAGGGTTTCTGTTATGTTTCATTTTTAAAACATTGGTGCTGTTTGGTCCAAGACAGAGAAGCATGTAGGGAGTGACAAGAAAAGCCTGCACCGCAGAAGAGTGAAAAATGTGACTGCAGTTTTGATGCCTTGATGCTTAAACTATGCAAATATACAAATAGGTGAGGGGGGGAGACTCGTGGGTTGCATACCTATCCTCATAGTTTTTGCTCTGTAAGTTACTCGTACGTGTGTAGGTACGTACACATATCAGTACACACAGACATGCATGCACGTATATATGCAAAGTCTTTACATAGAAGTGATGAAACAAAACCCTTTCCTCCAAGTTATACTTCATCAATTGGTGTAAATATAACTTGCTGCTCCTAAGGGAGAATCTTGGCTAAGGGCAAACTTTGGATTCACATCTTCCAGATTTGGAGACCTGTATATAGCAAACAAACAATTTGTTTAGCTTTTCTGAAGGCCTTGGAATGTTGCCTAGGACGCACGTCCTTCCTCATACTCTGCTAATTTGGAGAGTCCTATATTTTAAACAGACATACTAATGGGCAACTTGTTAATTGCAAATTCCTTCCTTTAATTTGAGTACAAAAGATAATAAAAAGCAGCTGGACCTCTTCGTGGAATTCCTATCCTGTCCAGTCAATACCTCTATATTTTGGTTGACCTAGAAATCATAGCTACTTCAATAAAAACAATTGGTTTGGGAATTCAGTCTGAGTAGTTTTTAGTGCTATGTACAGTGTAGGAAGCACTTGGCATCTGCAAACGTGTTCTTCTATTAGCAAGTGCGATTTGTCTTTTCTGGAAGAAGGAAATCAAGTGTGAGCTGTGAAGTGACTTGCCCAGAGTCACAAACAGAATCTTCTGGATCAGGGCTGAATGAGAGGTTCTAGTTCCCTAGTGTTATCTTCAAAGCACGAGATTTTACACTTTTGATAGATTGGTCCCTTAAAGGAATCGAAAAATAAGTTGACATACCTTAAAGACCCACATCAGGACAGTAAGGGCTAGAATTAAACATACAAGCTGTCGTGATTTGGGGTTGTACGTGTATGGTGGCCTAGGTGTTGCTCACGACTTGGTGGCACTGTGCACGGCCTGCAGAGTGGAAGGCCAGCGCAGCGTCAGTGGGAATAACAGCAGCACGTGTGTCCT